TTTCTAAAGAAATAACCATGTACGTGTGTATTTGTTTGCAAGAAATTATGTACTTTTAAAGGTTAGACACGAAATAACAAATCAAATTAGTATTTAAGAAAAAACAAAAACAAAAAACAGTGTTCCTTTTCATGAGATTCTGAAACGGTATTTACGAAGGTAATGAAAAAAGCCAATTCTTCTCTTTACCCTAAATTATCTGTACATTTTATGTCTTTTAATCTTGTTCAAAACATTACAGAGAAAGAATGACGGTACAAATCTCACTGACTAACAAAAAAACATTGTCATAAAAGTGCCATTTAGCGAAGATGTATTTTATTAATAACTTTTTTTGCGTTGGTGCAATGATACAAGGCACGTCTTATATGTTCTGTGTGTCAGACAAAACCGAAAAAAATGTTTAAGGTAAAATATGAATCCAAATGTTCGCAAACAATAATACCGATTATTTAAAGATTTCTTCATACATTAATTTTATACTTAAATCCGGCAACAATACCGATAAATAAAAGCATTTGTCATACGATAATACTTATATATGTTTGTTAAATTAAAAAATCCTATTCATTGTACTCAATGTTCCACGTTCCTAGACCTGATACTATTTGAAGGATACTCAAGAAAATGAAAGATAGAAGAAAAAAAAACAATTAAGTTCAAAGCCCAGCCATGACAATAAACACACCAACAGTGCAAATAAACAACATTGAGATAGTGGGGTTAAAAGCATGTCTTGATGCATTGATCGCAAATGTTTAAGAATATGCATTTAAACAAATGGAAAAATACAAACGAATAAAAGAAACATGGCAACACCTAACGTTAATTGGAAATTCAAAGTTTGCCACTGGTAACGAAATGCCATTCTGAAAAAACTGCTAACACAGAATGAATTAACACGAAGATGTTTACAGACAAATGCATGGAGAAAAAGAATACATTCATTTTTTGTTAGTTACATTTGTTCGATTGCACGTAAACCAACTGTTGCTTCAGTCTCCTTTTTTTTGAATTTGGAATTTATCACATAAACCGCGGCGCAGGAGTGTAATAAAGCCATTTAATAATCAAAGCACAGAATGCGCTGAATTTGTTTGGGTCTCAGAATGTCAGAAAGGTGAAAGTTGTGAGATTATTGTTCATCAACATTGACCTGGCACTCTTGCATTTGACCCTGTAGTCGGTATATTGATCTACTTGTAAAATCGATATGATTGTTAATATCGACTTGTTAAAATGGTGTAAATTAAATACCCCTCTCAGCTCAATTGGTAAAGTGGTTTCACTTGAAGAATGTAGAAGTTTTTGCTGGTTGGTTCGAATCCTATTTCATCGATTTTTTTTATATTTTAATCTTAAACAATGCCATTCTCTTAAAACTATTGCAAACCCTTTTTTGTTGTGTGTACTATCTGTATAGCATTTTTAATGATATAGCGTGTATGCGACAAAGCCTAGATGGCATAAAAAGAGCCGTTATATACTGTAATGAAATAAAGAAATGTATAATTGTGTATTAAAATACCACTTAAAAAGATTTTCTAATATCAGGTGTAGTAAAACGATTTCAAATTAATTTTTGCAAGTAAATTAAAAAAAAAATCATAACGTGGAATTGGTAAGGAATCGAACCAGAGACCTTCATATCGGTAGACCGACATCTATACCAATACACCACACACCACTGACAAGTGCAGTTAGCAAATATATCGGTATATTCGACAAATACTGCATGGTCAGTGTTTATTCAAATGACCTTTACGAAAGTTAATGAAGTGCCAGGTCAATATTGTTGGACAATATAAATCAATTTGTTCTTGTATAGTGCCACCAATGCATTCCAGCGTTTAGGCTATAAAACTAATTGCAACACTGATATTCGATCCAATGTTTATTTGACTTAAACAATTTGAAAAAAAAAATTTGCCTTAACTGGGATTTGAACTCCAGACCTCTCGCTTCCTAAGCGAGCGCGCAAATCTCACGGCGACGGTGGCTTTACATGTTAAAGGCTTGAAGAAAACCATATTATTCTAGTTAGGGTTTGTAACGACGCTAACTGTTGTTTAACACTTGTGTAAATAATCATGGCGCTTACTATAAGCATGTATATCTATAAAGAATAAAACAATATTAGAAATATTCGACCATTCGGGAATTATTTTGCTTGAAAATTAATCCGCCTGTCATGTGACCATATTTACGCAGTGATCTCCCCTAAATTTTTCGGCCTAAGTGTTACATATAAAGGGAAGTAACCGCTTCAAAAAAGCGGACTACTTTCGGCACTTGCAATTAACAGCATTAGAGTCTGAAATTTCGCTACCATTATTTGTTTGGTCTGACGACCCAAACAAATAAAAACGACATTACACTAGTGTAATAACACTTTGACGTGACGTCATTTGCGCTATATTAAAACATAGCGTTAAAGCGTGCTAATGTTAGCGTTACACTATAGGCACACCATTGAAAAATTACTCATTTAAACAGTTTACTGTTCTTATTTTATATATGTGATAAATAGAATATTATATTCGTGTAGATGCAATACTAAATTTATTGAACTTGTTGAATAAAACAGAGGCTCGCATATGATTTTATTCAACCCGTTCAATAAATTTAGTATTAAACTACACTCATTCAATATTCACGAGAACGACAAATATTGTAATATCCGGATATCGTTATATCCGAGAGGCAACAAATTTGAAAACAAATGTCGGGACCGCGACAACAACATCTTTATAACCGGTATAAGCGATGGCGTTTATTGGTAAGACTGACAGATACAATTATGAGTAAAGTAATGTATTTATGAAGATTTCTTAACGTCGTGAAAAAAAGTAATCTATGGTGATTGCATGCGTGCAGTAACTCCTTTGAACGAAATAAAGCTATAAACTAGCTATGATAAGACATTGTGTTAGACATTAGCAATGATTATATACGTCACAATATGATCCTATTACAAACACAGTTCTTATCAGAAAAGGAAAATAAAAGTCTACGGTGTCTCAGGGGAAGCATTGTTACACATTAATAAAGCATATATTATATGCCAGCTTTGTAAGCATACTGTTTGTACGAAACTTCGCAGTTTTAATCTTAAAAAAACACATGCTGTATAGACGTATTTCATTAATATCTGTGTTTCTAATTTCATCATCTTTGCTCGGGTAATCTTAATACCATTTGAAAGTATTTCTTCTTTCTTTCAAAGGCTTTTTGTAATTTTGGTGTACTGTAATAGTATGAACAAAGTTACTCATTGGCAAGTCACACCATGTATGTCCAGTAGCGCAGAAATGTGCAACATAACGAAGTAATTGCGCAAAAGTTACGCAGAATTGTGCAATTTAGTGGCTAAAACGAGCACCGCGATAAGTAAATGGACCAATATTTTTATTGTACACCAAAGTGGAAGAAATTTGTTAACGCATGCGGTTGCTGAGACATTATATTTTGAACCTCATCAAAAATATTTCCATTATAATGTTTATTTTACAAGATCATTCGTGAAAATGACGACCTGGCTTGCGTATTGACGGCGAGTTTTAATTTCTTTGATATCTTTAAATACAATAACGTACATGTTACTTTATGATGTTTTATATTCGATGTACCTGAGACATTTTCCAATTTACTCGTGTCATCTTACAATAAATTTAGCAGATAAAACGTATTTGAGACCATGTTTACGAGGTTACGCCGAATTCGTGAATGGAGCACTAAAGCAGCGGCGGTTATCTCATTAAAAGTAGCTAAATCCTATTTACCAGCTTCCTTCTATTGTTACACGACACTTGTAGTTTGACAAATGTCTTCGGTATACAGAATATGACAAAAGTTTTAAATGTGTTAAATATACATTTTTATTCGACGAAACACAAAAGACACCTTCAAAACGGCAATCAGGTTGTCTTTCTCACGAATGATCTAAGGAAGAAAACAAATTCCTGAAAAAAAATGTAATGCAGGTCAAAGTATAATGTAGTAGTAGCCGTATGCGCTAATTCTTTTCTTTAAATTTGATTTAAAATAAAATATTTTGGTTCGTTTACTTACTGTGTTTTTTGTTTTTGCAATAGCGTTGCACAGATTCGGCGTTACTTTTACGATAATTGCACACTCCTGCGTTACTTGATATGCACGCTGAGTCACCAGAACCAACTTTTTAATCTGTTACTGTTCGGCAATGAGTACATTTATAGTGAATTTGTATAATTTTGTATAGAATCCGAAATACTACTTTGTTTACATTTTGCTACTTTTATAACAAATTATTACACAATATCAGCTACTTTATGCAGGTAACAAGCATCTAACATTTCTCCAAATCCATTGTTTAAACATTATGAAATACAATGTTAACCCTTTCTTTAGAAGAAAAAAATATGTGTTTCTGAGGCATAATGTGCCTTTAATTTAATTAAAATTATAATTATTCTTTGGGTGTGAATTTCATCTCTAGAAATATGAACATATTAGTTCTTTTCCTACATTCAAAACGATCTGTAAACAAGGGTGGACAATAATGACGAACAAGATTTATACAAGCGTTATTTGTATTATTCAAATTCATTTGTATGTTGTACATATCAAGTAATCAACAAGGGTTATTTAGACTTTGATACATGGTAACAATAATGTACAATAAAATGGGTTACTCTATCAAATTTTACAAAATTTTACCACACTTTTTGATCATCCTTAGTGATATAGCGGTATGAAACCCGTTTTAAGAAGTTATATTCTAAATAACAATGTATATATGAAAGCTGCATGCCTCTAGATGAGCCAAACGATTTTAAGAAAATCATCCTTGAGAAAAAATATTATAAGATTTTATGAAAGTAAAAATATTCACCATTTAAGAGATAATTTTCATGTTATATGTAATTACGGACTGACTGTGCAGTATTTATCACTATATTTCTACTGCGTGACTAACGCAGTAAGGGCTACTTGTACATATTCTGACCCATTTTTTGGTGTTTTTCGTAGATTGCAATCTATGAATCAAACGTACTTTCTATGTACACTTAGCAATATATTTCTTTTAAATACAATAAAAAACATTTTTTATGAATATTGACATGAATCTAGAGGCATGATGCTTTGAATAAAACAAATATTTTTTCAGAGGTGTTCATTTATGTAATGATTATTATATTCTAATAACAGATAGAATCATCCCTTTTATCGCAACTGATCTACGTTTATTCAACTGAAAGCACAATTTTGCATTTCAAAACAGAATTGAATACACATTTTTGGGAGTCTTCTTTTCGGTATGTAAGAACAAAATTTGTATTTAAACAAAGTCATGATCATATATGTGGGTGCATAAACCAGCGAATTTATTTATATTTAAAATATTATAATAATACATGCAGAATATAAACAAAACAAACATTATGTAATTAAAGATGTTGTGATGATGTCAGAATCTATATAAAGTCAAAGATGGGTGGAATGTTATGCGCATGTATATACGGTATCCAATCAGACTGGCAAATTGCCGTGGATATCAAGCTTAACATTTACTGTTGTAAGCCTATACATTGGTAACCCTATCCAATGGTAAACCTATGCTGTTGTAAGCCTATGCAGTTGTTGGTAATAAAGCTTCATCAAGATGATGTATTTCAATTAATACAAGCTATTTTTTAATCTTATTTTAGCCATCACTAAGATTGAACAAGTGAAAAATTATCTACTTAACAAAAACAATAAGAAAAAAATTAATGTTTTATTTAAAAGGTGGCAAACAATCCTATATTTTCGCATTCAAGACTAACGCTTTGAATGCTTACACTTCATTGTGTGTTCATATCAAACACAAGCTCTTGAATACCAATTCCGATATCTATGATTTTAGATTCATAAACAATTCTGATAACACTATTTTGTCTAAGATCGTTTTTACCGTTCTTTATGTAAGCATATTTCAAGCAAATTCATATGTATTTCAAAGTAAACACGCCCCTCTACTCTTGAAGACCGCACTAACTTTATCTACAAAACAAACTTTCATACTTTCACCAGAAAGCAACTACTAATATCCAGGCGGCATGGGAAAATGATATCACAGATAGTGAAGTTCAAACATCTCGGCGTCCATATTTATATATATAACACATATATCTATTTAGTTCAATTCTAAACAATGTCAAGCAATAAGTTTTGTTGATACCTTCAACAATCAGCTGTTATAGAATATCATAGATGGACAAAAATACCATCTTTAAGTCCATCTAACAAATCATTCAATTCGTCCCACATTTGTCCAAGTCTTTTAACCAATCAAATCTACAATCCTGAAAAATTGCATGTTCATTTAACATGTTTTAAGCCTGTACACTTCGGATTCTTGGTTCTTTTCGGCAATTAGTTCGAACATTTACCATCAGGAAGTCGTGAGGGCCAACACTATAGTAAACACAGTGGTCCAGAATATGTGCAAAATAGAAAGATCGTTGGTCCCTGAAGCTGAAATAAAAGAGAATGCAACTTATCATCATATAGATCTTGGGAACAATTACTTACAATTATAGTAAGATACTTGAAATTTACAGTTAAACTGGTTTAAATTATTAATCTTGCAAAAAATATTTATTAACATAAAATTTACTGTTGAATTATCGTTTTTTTCGATTCATTGTTTTAGGTATCATGAATTTTGCAACAATTATATATATGTACTTTATTACATGAAATTTACAGTTAAACTCAATTTCGTTTCATTTGTTAATTAATTGGTCTTGCAAAAAATGAAATTGACCAAAAATGGATTTTGTTTCATTGTTTTGGTTATGAAACTTGCAATAATTATTTCATATGAAATTGACAGTTGAAATGCACTTCGTTTCATTGTCTCAGTTAACGATCTTGCGAAAACTACACTTAACATGAAATTTACATTTAAACAGCATTTCGGGTCATCGTTAAAAGTTTGGGTCGATCTTGCAACAAATTCACATTTACATGAAATTAACAGTACAAATTTCATTTCATTGTTTAAGTTATGGATCTTGCAACAAACAATTAATTGTAAAATTGTTTTTCGTTTCATCGTTTTAGGTATGGATCGTGCAACAAACATTAATAATTAGTTACATGAAAGTACACGGAATTTAGAGTTGAATTAGGTCCTGTCTTTTCATTGTTTAAGATATGGATCGTGCACCAATCACTGTACATGAAATTAACAAATGAGCAGCGTCACGACAAAACCAACATAGTGCGTTTGCGACCAGCATGGATCCAGACCAGACTGCGCAACCGCACAGTCTGATCAGGATCCATGCAGTTCGCTATCAGTTTCTCTACTTCAAATAGGGTTTGTAAGCAAACAGCATGGATCCTGATCAGACTGCGCGGATGCGCAGGCTGGTCTGGATCCATGCTGGTCGCAAACGAATTATGTTGGTTTTGTCGTGACGCGGCTCATTTGTTAATTTCATGTCTTTAAACCAAGCTGTTATACAATCTTGAATTTTTTTATTTTTTGGTTTTGTCATGACGCGGCTCATATATGCGCATAAATTTTATCAGCTACTTGAATACGTGCCGATATCAGACGAACAAACAAACGTTTTTTTTTACTTTCTTACTTTCTTATTTAAATCGACATGTAAGCATTGCACTTAATCATTGATAACATTCAGAAATTTAACATTGACTTTTAGCATTGATTTTAATCAAATTGAATATAAATTATTTATTTATTTTATCAATCACTTATCAGATATATTTGAAAGTCAAACCGAGCGAGCTATGAACTTGAATTTGGCTATATCTATAAACATTGGCGTCGTGTGATAATTTAAAAAATTGTAGTCTTAAATGTAAAAGGTTTGATCTTATGCTATTGATAATGAATACAAATTTAATAAATTATGCAACAAAAGCTGCCTGTCAAACAGCACATCGCGCTCGACTATTCTCAGTGCTTGACAGTAAAAATAGAGACATAACTCTGTAAAAACGGTTACTCAGAGTAATGGGTCATGTGCCAATTATATAAGATTATCACAGAAAACAAGTGCGTGAAGTTTCAACCCATTCCGTACAGTAGTTTTGTAGATACCAACTTACATGTAAAAAAATATTTAAGTGGGACGGTAACGGTGATGGTAGGGCCTCGCTCTTCTTTTTTCCTTAGCCTTGTTTGATAAATTTTATAATATCAGACACTTGTTTGGTATTCTATCTATCATGTTTTCAATTGAAAAAAAAATCTGTTTATGAAATAGATTTTTCCCTTTTTTGACATTACAATTTCAAAGACTTCCCTTTAAATTTAGTATATTGGCTGACTTTGGAAGAAAGTAGTCCGGCAAGACTCCAGTTTTAATTTCAAGGAAATACGGAAAATTTGTTAACTGCAGTAAAAACATTTTTTACGGTAAAAGTACAAAAGTAAAGTACCTCAAATTAAAATACACATTTTATTTCATCAATATTTTTTAATCTTTCATTTATAAGTATAAAATTAGTAAATAAATATCCATGTTTACCATTGTAGTAGTAATAACAGTCATGTTCGTCACTACCATCATGACATTGTAACGTATTATCACATCGGTTGTGTTCAGGAATGCATTGCAGTTCACTGAGGCACATAAACGTCGTCTCGTTGCATTGTTTGATGTCAAAATGCGGTGGCAAATCTGCGAGAAAAAACAGTAACAAGTTTAAATGTACGGTAAACAGCATTTCAAGATAAAACACAAACAAAGTGATCCATCGGAAGCATTAATCACAACAAAATTACAAGAGAATTGCAGACTCGGTTTGATTGAGTCTGTACATGAGGGATAATGAATAAGTGCAATATCCCTCACGCCCCTAGCACCGGCTAGCCAGTGCAAAGAGTATTCTGTAATACTCTTGCATTGTTAACGGGTAAGGAGAAAAGCAACACTTACAAGCACCACCTCACTGCATATTGGTAATACATTCTACACTCGATTATTTTGTTATCATACTATCGGAAAGCTATGTCAAAGTGTTTCAAAGATATTCAAAGTAACGATTATTATAAAAATTGAAGTTTAACAACCCTTGAGTTGATATCAACAAAAAATGAAGAGCGTCCGTGGCCGAGTGTTTAAGGTTGTTGACTTTAAACCACTTCTTCCCACGACTTTAGGTTCAAGTCTCGCCAGGGACTTTGGATTATGTCATGTGAGGAAGCTATCCAGCTTACTTACGAAAATAGGTGGTTCTACTCTAGTTCCCGCTTATGGCTGAAATAAAGTACAGAGGAGCACCTGAGGTCTTCCTCCACCAGTAAAGCTTGAAAGTCGCTGTGTGACCTATACTGAGTTGGTGCGACGTAAAACCCAACAGAAATCACGAAATATCTTGATTTGAGATTCAAATTTTCAGTATAACTATAACATGCAATATTTGCGTTTGATACAAAAGTGCATTTGCAACATGCCAAGACACATATCACAGTATATTTCAATGGTACGATACTACGTCATTGCGCACCTGCAAAATGCTCCCAAACTGAAAACGGGATAAAGTTTTTTTTTCCTAAATGCTCCCCTCCCACTCGGACTCCCAAACAAGATTTATCCCGTTTTAGGCTTAAACCAGACAGTAAAACTTTAAACGTTTTCACAAACGTTCTAGTTCAAGTTACATTATTTTTTTATATTCTAACGATTTCTTAGAATAAAAACATGTTTTATCTTCTAGTCGACGGGATGTTTAAAAAAAAAATCATAAATCCGATTGGGTGCATTTGACAGATGCGCGATGACGTAGTATCCTACCGTTGATATTTATAAGGTATAAAGTAAATTACCAGGGCAAGCCCAGACATTGCACGAAGTTGTAGCATAATCTCTCCCCTCGCATTCAAGTCCTCCATTTTGCGGCTCAGGCGCATTGCACTGCTTCTTTCGTGTTGTTGTCCCGTTGTCGCACATCTTCGTACACTCACTCCATGGACCCCAAAATCCCCAAGATCCATCAACTAAAAAAATGATATCATAATAATCATAGTAGGACTCTTTTATATTTGCTTCAAAGTTCTTCAAAAGGGAGAACACTCAAGAGTTAATAAAGCTAAAACAAACAGTTTGAAATCACAAGCTACGTTTTATTTGTATGTCAATGGAATAAAATGGAACAGAAATTTTTTTTTATGCACTTCACCGTATTAAGCGGTATTCAATTCACTACACTAAAGTCACAATTACTGTTTGAATAAATTGAATTTTCAAAGTATAACATAACATTTATTCACAAATTTATGCCTTCACATTTTGTAAGCTCTTATTGTTGCTCATATTGGTATGTGCTACAACCGGAATTAGAAATACAACACTGCATTAAAAGGCGAAAAATACAAAAACACGGAAGGGATCACAAACTTTATAATTGTCATGTCTTTTAGTTTACGCATTTTAGCCGCTAAAAACCAAACATACAAAAAAATACAACACAATTTTGGACTGTCGTGTTTTTTTGATTTTATACATCAAAAAAATTTAAATACATTTTATAGTAAAAGTTTTGTATTCTATTTTTAATGTTGATTTGGCCTACCAACAGTTTGATACAGAACTTTCGAAAAACATTGTCAGTGATAGTTTTGCATAAATTAGAATTTTCTCAACAGTTGTAATTATACATTTATTTAATGTAGATTAATTTTATTTTTTTACAATACATCAAAGTGCTAGATATTTTCAATCGTCGGATACCCACGGCCGAATCATTTACATCTTTCGTCGGATACCTATAGCCGAACCATTTACATATACCGTCGGATGCCCATATCCGAACCGACCTACCGTGGGTATCTGACGTTGGATTTCTTCTTACAATAATAATATTCATTCATGTACGTTATAACACCTACTCGGACATGGTTTATCAACAATACATTCGATTATGTCTTCATAAAAGAATTCATTCTTTTTGTTGCCAGATTGTTCTCGTGATTTCCAGGCCTTTTGCCTCTTCTGAACTCCATATCCGCACGTGACGCTGCATTTTGACCACGCTCCCCAATTGGCCCATTCCCCGGACTGTCCCAACACCTCACTCACTGCCAAAAAAAAAGGGAGTCAAATTTAAATGTGTTTCGAAAAACATAATTTTAACAGTAAACTTTGACGAAAATATAAGCTTATTTTATTATTGCTGCAAACTTTCTTTTTTATAGAGAAAAGGTGAGATTTAAATCTTCTAAAATTGACAGCAGCCGCCTATATTAAACTATATAAACGACACCATTATCCAATGAAAAGCGCAGTTACAAACGTGCAGTACTATGAAGTGTGATATTATGGATTTTGAATGGTGTATATATTGGGAATAAAACATTTCATGTATAATGTAACAAGAAAATAAGACGCGCCTGCGCAGTTAGTCTGTCTAACCGTACTCTTTACTAGAAACTCTAGGTTGAATATTTTCAAAGAAAAGAAAAGTTATAATCCCAAAATTAGATTGTCAGGTATGAAATATATACTTGTAACTCAAACGGGGACTGAAAATTTACATAATCATTTCAAGATGTATTCATTTGCAAGTTTTTCAATACCGTTATTTGTTCAATGTTTCGGAATATAAGGTAACGTGAGAATCGATTATACTAAAATTTATTCCTTACTTCCTATATTAAAACTCCATTTATTAGAGTATAATTTCGTTGAACACCCTTATGCTGAATAATTTTACGATTTATTACGCTCATGATAGGTTAAACTTGAGACAGAATAATGATCGTTAACACTGACTCGGCAGAAATATGACCCAAGAAAGTATCTGACGCAAGGACAAAAATAAACATTATGTTTAAAGGGACTCGGCTGATACATTTTGACAAGACGGAAATATGAAAATAATTTTTTTATCAAACACTCGTGCCGATTTTGCGACTCCGTAAAAATGGTATTGCACGGCCGTGCATATATTTTGACGTGACGTCATTAGCGTTATACAAACATAGTGTAATGACGCGCTAAATGTTAGCGTTAAAATATAAGCGTGTCAATGAAAAATGACTCTTATTTCACTTTAAACGGTTTTAATTTGGGTATGAGATAAATAGAATATTAAATTCGTGTAAGTTCATTACTGAATTTATTGCACTCGTTGAATAAAATAATATTATGCTCGCCAGACGCTCGCATAATATAATTTTATTCAACTCGTGCAATAAATTCAGTATTGAACTCACACTCATTCAATATCCTCTATATACTAATAACTTATGTGCAAAGTTTCAGATCAATGACACCGTCGGTCAGTTCTTTCATAATTCTATTGTGAAAAATGAGCTAAAAATGAAAAGTGTTTGGACGCTCTTAACTCATACCGGGCTAACAGTCGCATTAAGTACTGATTTTTAATTTAAATCTGAGTATATTTCTATATCATCTGTTTCATATTTTTGTCTGTTTTAAGTGTCCTAGTTGACCTATGTAACATTTTAAAGGCTTTTGGACTTCAAAGGAGTTCTTTCCAGTGCAGATAAACTTTGAAAAGATGGCCGACGACAAAATGCAAATGTTACTTACAGTATCAATCAATGCTTTCTCATAATATTCTCTACCGTGGCATTTTAAGTGTTTTGATATATATGTTTATATATACATAGGAGTGTGATAAACTATGAATTTAAATAAATGCATATTTAATATAAAGTATACAAAATGTATATAACAATTTACTATCGCTTGCTGACGAGATATAAGAAGAAAAATAGCTAGAATAAGATCTTTACCACTCGAGGCGCTACACGATGACTGGAGACGCTACGCGGGGACCGGCGGCGATATACGGGAACCCGATGCGCTATACAAGTATTCGATGTCTTACAAGAGGTCCAGTGGCGCTACGCGAGGACACAAGATACTATACGGGAACCCAACGCGCTGCACGAGGACCCGATGGGCTATACGTGTGTTATTTAGATCTAAGAAAGCTTCTTTTCGAATATTCCGTTCACAAACTTTATATCACGTAACAAATTTATAATATTGTAAAATTCTTTAATATCTTCTTTTAAAACCAAGGAAGTTAACGATAAATAAAGTTTAACTATTTATTTTTAGATCGTCTAAAAGTTAAAAAAAAACGCTGCATTTTTTCGCGTGGTTTTTTTCCACGGAAATGACAAAGTAATTGCATATTGCATAGGTACGAAAGATCGGTGGTGACATTTTAACTTCTTGAATTCTCGGGTTCATCTTCACGAATTATCAATGTCAAGTTCATGAATTTACGATTTCAATATATAGAATTCACGGATTCACGATTGCCAACTTGAATTTCAACTTCAACATGATTTTAAGATTTCAAGAAGTGAAATTCATGAATTTGTGAAGTTGAAATTGTGAATTCACGAAGCTGATATCGTAAAGATCAAAACTTGACTTCGCGAAGTTGAATTCGTAAATTCATGAAGTTGAAATCGTGAATTCGTAAATTCCGTATGTTGAAAACATGAACTTACGAAGTTGAATTTGTGAAGTCACGAAGATGAAATCGGGAATTCATGAAGTTGAAATGTCCCCAACGGTAATTCTTAAGAAAATATCTAAAAAAGATTTCTTACGTACTTATCTTAGATAGTTTTAGACAAATAATGATAAAAAAGATCAATAACATTTGTTTAAAAATCAATTATCAACAAGTATTCAGAATTGTAATTATCTTAAAATCACTAATAAACAGGTTCGAAATTTATTTTAATGCTTGATATGAAGAAAATTGAAGCTCCTTCTGCCCGCCATCTTGTTGCTAAAAATAAACTGCTCTTATACCTACGGAGGCAAGAGGTGCGCTTAATTAATTTGGAATTAATTTTAAAATGAATGTGTACGAATAAAATGAAAAGCGAGCCAACCAATGAAATATTAAGAAATAATTCCCGTTTTTATAACGAAAATTATCGTACCGTATGTGCAGTTATCGTCAATAGCAAATTGATATACAAAAATGTAATAATTAATTTATTATATAGAGTAAAGAGATGAAGACAATCAAAGTTACAGGTATATAAAAAAAATGATTACCTTGTTGAATAACTATTGCTATCTGTAAAACATTGTAGCCTAACCTCATAGTTCACACACAAAACTGAAAATATACAAATATAATACTAGATAAATATAGTTCACACACAAAACTAAAAAAATATAAATCAAATACTAGATAAGTACTGGTAGTTCACACACACAACTGAAAATTTGCAAATAAAATACTATATAAAGAGTTAACACACAAAACTGATAATATAACAATAAAATACTAGGTAAAAATAGTTCACAAACAAAACTGAAAATATACAATTAAAATACTATGCATAAATAGTTCACAAACAAAACTGAAAATATACAAATCAAATACTATGTGAATTGTTCATAAACAAAACTGAAAATATACAAATAAAATACTAGGTAAAAATAGTCAATACACAAAATTGAAAATATACAAATCAAATACTATGTGAATGGTTCATATACAAAACTGGAAATATACAAATAAAATACGAGGTAAATAGTCCATACACAAAACTGAAAATATACAAATAAAATACTAGGAAAAATAGTTCTTACACACAACTTAAAATATACAAATAAAATACTAGGAAAAATGTCCACACTCAAAACCGAAAATATACAAATAAAATACTAGGTAAAAATTGTTCACACACAAAACTGAAAATATATAAATAAAAATACTAGGTAAAAATAGTTCTCACACAAAAACTGAAAATATACAAAAACTGCCATTTATTTTAGATAAATTCTAAAAAGATGTTCCATAGACTGAAAATAGCACACTGTTTAACTGTAACCCATATAACCAAGTAAAGGTACTTTTCTATAAAAATAGATAAAAGTAATTACTACATATGAAAGAACATTGAATTGTTTCTATCATCGCCGATTATTGCATCCAATATTGGACTGTTATAACACTTGATACATCAATAAATTCACAGTGATACAAATATATACAATTATTGTGTACTATGGTAACCAGGGCATCAACTTGTGTTTTTTTTTATTTATGTCCTTGGCAACGGCAATGCATAAAACACCATGCAGTTGTAAAATTTGTGATTTGTTTTTGATTTTGATATTGTATTGTATATCTAAAATGATATATTTGTTGTAAAACTGCTCAAAGAATACAAACTTTACGTTCTATCAGGACACACGCATAGACAATAAATACAGGACGGGTTATCAAAGTTAAAAGCCCAATCTTGACAATGAAGGTAAAAACAGAGCAAATAAACTTCACTGAGATAGCGGGTTTTTAAAGCAATGTCTCCGGAAATGTCATTTGAAGTATTGATCGCTAGTGCTATTGCTATACAGTAATAGTGCGCAACGTATGAAAACATTTCAAACAAATCAAAAAGCACTGACAACAACCTAATGGTATTAGGAAATTGAAGTTTTGTTGAAAATGACATGTCATACTGTCATACACACTATAGAAAATTAAAAAAAGGAGATAAAAATTGACGCAGAACATGTATTCGTTTCATGTTTGGATGACATTATTGTATCTACTGTCAAATTATTTCAGACTAAAAAAACTTTTGATTATTTGCGAAATACAGATCTAAAAGAAAGAACCAAACATCGCTACATATTAAAACAACTGAATAAGCAATGGAGAAAATATTTTTTTTTTTTAATCAATATGAGGGTAAATGAGCCTTAAATAATCAGGCTGATCAGAAGCTATGAAAAACGAAAAATATTGTGAAGTGATAACAAATTGCAAATGGCGCTTACAGTCCTCGTAAATTACCAATTACAGGTCAAAATATGTCAAAACAGCCCTAACTGCGTTAGTCACGCAGTAAAAAATATGATGATACAGACGGCAAAAGCATTGACAGCAACATAATGTTATTACTATAATAGAAAAGATAAAGTTTTGATGGCTTAATTGACATACATCATTGACATGTATTTCACTGTTAAACTGATTGTAGAAAATAACCATTAAACTATTTATTTTCTGATTGTCTATTAACAAATTCCATAATATACATAGCATAATGGTGTTAATGGTGTTGTTTTTTAAAAAGCAAAAACTAAATAAATCAATCAATAAACAAATATTTAAATAAAAAATAAAATAAAAACCATCGAGTTTAAGATTTACAAAATAGCGAAAAACATACATAAATGTAAATGATTTCTATAGTTTACCTTTCTATTCGTAAAAATAGTTATATTCCTCTTATTAAATACGTTTTATCTTTCGTTTTCAATGTGACCTATTCAGTTCATATATTGAAGTGGTTTATAAACATTAAACAGTATTTTGTAATGTCAAACATAGATGTAAACACTTTGTAGGTACACTTTTAAGGAGTGCAGTTTATTACAAAATTGTGTACAAAAAGGCTTATCTCGAAAACGACTCATTTTCACTTTAAGCTGTATACATGACATGTTTTAACGTGTTCACTGAATTAATAAATATAAAACGGTGTAGTGTACGCATTCACTCTAAAATGGGATATGATATCATATTCAACTTTCCGTTTAATTCTGTGTATGTAATCAAAGATATATTATGAATATTGTCAACTTTTTTCCATTTAAAATATCAAATTTATTACATCATGGCAAAGTTTTTTTACCTTTTTTTCAGTGTATAAAAGTGTAAACCAAATTTGTATCGTAGCGATCTTTCGTCCGGGACAACAAAAAAGTAGTATATCATTTCGAAATTACTTCACTATCCCAGTTGATTTACTACAAGAAGCGGAGTATTAAATAATGCATCTTAAATCGTAGTTTCGTTTTACATTCATGTAATGCTTTTTTTTTATCTGTCACTTACTACTGAATCCAAAGGGTTTTCGGATGTATGTGGTTTGATCAAGGAAACAAAAAATGACCTATTTTTTAAAGAAATGCTATGATGAAAGAAAGACATGTGCATGAATATTGACATAAACACTATTAAATGAATCATTCATGATGAATTCATTAATGTGTAACGAATCTTAGTGCACTTTAAGATAATTTAATGGAAAAAATAACGAGCACTTAGATTACTGCTAAGTGTAGCATAAGTAATGAACACTTAGAAAGCTGCTACGAGTAACATAAACAACAAATGTTTCCACGTGTAGCACAAAGAACGAGCACTAAGATTACTGCTACGCGTAGCATACATAAGGATCACTTAGATAGCTGCTACGTGTAGCGTAAGTAACGAGCACTTCGATAACTGCTACGTGTAGCATAAATAATGATCACTGAGGTAACTGCTTCGTGTAATGTAAATAACGAACACTTAGATAGATGCTACGTGTAGAGTAAATAAGGATCACTTAGATAGATGCTACGTGTAGCATAAATAACGATCACTTAGATAGATGCTACGTGTAGAGTAAATAAGGATCACTTAGATAGCTGCTACGTGTAGAGTAAATAACGATCACTTAGATAGATGCTACGTGTAGAGTAAATAACGATCACTTAGATAGCTGCTACGTGTAGAGTAAATAAGGATCACTTAGATAGATGCTACGTATAGAGTAAATAAGGATCACTTAGATAGATGCTACGTGTAGAGTAAATAACGATCACTTAGATAGATGCTACGTATAGAGTAAATAACGATCACTTAGATAGATGTTACGTGTAGAGTAAATAACGATCACTTAGATAGATGCTGCGTATAGAGTAAATAATGATCACTTAGATAGCTACTACGTGTAGAGTAAATAATGATCACTTAGATAGCTACTACGTGTAGAGTAAATAAGGATCACTTAGATAGATGCTACGTGTAGAGTAAATAAGGATCACTTAGATAGATGTTACGTGTAGAGTAAATAACGATCACTTAGATAGCTACTACGTGTAGCGTAAATAACGATCACTTAGATAGATGCTACGTGTAGAGTAAATAACGATCACTTAGATAGCTACTACGTGTAGCGTAAATAACGATCACTTAGATAGATGCTACGTGTAGAGTAAATAACGATCACTTAGATAGCTACTACGTGTAGAGTAAATAAGGATCACTTAGATAGATGCTACGTATAGAGTAAATAAGGATCACTTAGATAGATGCTACGTGTAGAGTAAATAACGATCACTTAGATAGCTACTACGTGTAGCGTAAATAACGATCACTTAGATAGATGCTACGTGTAGAGTAAATAAGGATCACTTAGATAGATGCTACGTGTAGAGTAAATAACGATCACTTAGATAGCTACTACGTGTAGCGTAAATAACGATCACTTAGATAGATGCTACGTGTAGAGTAAATAAGGATCATAAAGATAGCTGCTACGTATAGAGTAAATAACGATCACTTAAATAGCTGCTACGTGTCAAAACCCACCTCGCTTGCTGGAGGTAAGAGATGCATAGAACCTGGTAATTCTAACCCATTGTGTCGCCTCTTATGACCACGCAGGGATACACGGTGGCTGCAATTATGATACCTCAACCCCTAAAAGTAATCCCTCAGCCATAAGGAGATTGCCAGGCCAATGTTATGTATTATAAAAAACTGTTTATACATTACTATTTTATTACTAAAAGGTCTTTAATGTGCATATATAACACTGCAGAATTGCCTTTTATAATTGAAATAGAAGGTAATTCATTAACTTACAACAGCCTTGTATATAAATGATATAAACGACACGTTATCCAATCAAAATCGACGAAACAAATTTGCAGTATTATAATTATGAATTATTCTTTGATTAATAACGCTTCAAGTATTCTTCATATTGCGGATCAATATCAATATTACTCTAATAAGCATGAAATCGAAACATTTATGGGAATCTATACTACTCTTAATAACAGTCAATTTACATAGATAACAAATTAAACTATTGAATAAAAGAAACTCCTTTTGAAAATAAGGTTAACATCAAGATTAATTGTATGAATCCAAAATGTCCAAAGATTTAAATGGTTGTACTGAAATTTACATTGCTGAGCGTTAATTTTGCTTATTTTTATAAGAAGAAGTAAAACATAGCCCCTGAGTAAAAAATAACTTACAAAGTAATGTTCCAAAACAAAGGAACACGCTGATGAGATTAGCGACTGATATATGCATAT